CTTTCACCCATCCCACACAAGACTGTGTTCCCTATGTAAAGACACAAAGTCCTGGGAGCTACAGGGAACAGTGACAGTGTAGCAGGAGAAGCAATTCTCCCCTAGAACAGCCAGGATAGGACAGGCTTCTTAGTTCTTTAGAAATACAGATTTTTGAAGCTAGACTTGGTGACATGTGTGTAATCCCAGCACTCAGGAAACTGAGCAGCAAGAGGATTTTAAGTTTGAGATTAGCCTGGGCTACATAGTTGAATTCTAAACCAGCCTAGGCTACAGGGTAAATCCTTTTTTGTTTGTTTGTTTGTTTGTTTTTTCTAAAGACAAAATTTGCTCTTATATCGACCCAAGTTGGGTTCCCATTATGTGTATTGGGGCTCATAACCAGTGGTAATTCTAGCTTTAAGGAATCTGATGCCCTCTTCTGGCTCCCACAGGTATTGGACACACACACACACACACACACACACACACACACACACACACTAAAATCTTAGGGCCTGGGGATATGGCTCAGAGGTTAAGAATGTTTGATGCTCTTTCAGAGGACCCGGGTACAATTCCAGCATTTACATGGTGGCTAACAACTGTCTGGAACATCAATCCAGTTGGATCCAACACCCTCTTCTGGCCATTATGGGCATCAAACATACATGTGGTGTCTAGAACACATGCAGGCAAAAATTAAAATTCAAAAGTAAATAAACAAATGAGCCTTTAAAAACAAAATACTCAAAGTGACAACAAAACTAAAAAAAAAAAAAAAAAAAAAAAAAACCTGAGTTTGAAAGCAAGAAGGAATGTCTTGTCTAGCCCATCATCTAACAGCCCACTTTGGTAGCTAATATTATAAGCTTTGTGACTGGTTGAGATAAGGGTTTACATATGCTTTTCTTGATTTCCACCACCATCCTAATGTCCTAAGAACAATAATCTACCCACAGTTCTCAGCACACAATCCTATCTGTGAAATTACTGAGTCTAGGGTGCTATTCAGAACGTTCTCATAAGTACTAATGATGAGTAAAGAAAAAGAGCTTGTCATTGGAAGGTAGTAAGTGATAATTACGACCCAGGCCCTGGGTCCAGGCTGCCTGCATTTGTGCTCCACCCCCAACACTTACTCAATGGACAACGCTGGGAAAGATACTTTATTTCCCTGAACTTATTCGTTATCTTGACAAATGTAGGTCTCAGGACAGCACCTACCCACTGAGTTATCTATCATTCAGGCTCCAGTTCCAGGCAAAGTGGTTTGCACTGGGCCTTGACCTTGAAGCAGCTCTGGGTAATCCTCCTCAGAATACCTGGTAAGGGATTACTGTATTTTTCCCGTTTCCTTTCTTTCTTTTTATTTTTAAAAACAAGTTTTAGATTTTATTATCTATGAATGTTTTGCCTGTATATTTGTATTTGTATGTACACCATGCATGCTGTGCCAAAGGAAGCCAGAGAGGGAGCTGGGAGTCACCTCGTGGGTTCGGTGAACTGAACTTGGGTTCTGTGCAAGAGCAGCAAGTATTCTTTATTTTATTTTATTTTTGAGACAGAGTTCCTCTGTGGCTTTGGAGGCTGTCCTGGAACTAGCTCTTGTAGACTAGGGTGGTGTTGAACTCAGAGATCCGCCTGCTTCTGCCTCCTGAGTGCTGGGATTAAAGGCGTGCACCACCAACGCCCAGCAAGAGCAGCAAGTATTCTTAACCACTGAGCCATCTCTCTAGTCTTCTTTTTTTTTTTTTTTATTTTGAGAAAGATCTCATCTACTCCAGAATGGCCTGGAATTCCCAATACTCTCTCAATACAGGCATGTATTATTACCATGCCCACTTACTGGTTTCCACTTCATAGCCCAGGTTTGCCTAACCTCAATATGTAGCCCAGGTTAGTCCCAGAATTATAATCCTCCTGCCTCAGCTTCCCAGTTGCTAGGACTGAGAAGAATACATCTTCATGTTTGGCTCTATCCAGCTATGTGTTCAACTTTACTCTGGTCAGTTTTCATTTATTCTATAGGGCTTCCTTCATTTGATTTATGAAACCCTAACTTTCCATGAATATAGATATGTTTATAAAATAATTAAGGACACTTGGTAGGATAAGGCAGAAAGGTAGACACAAGTCTGAAGGCTGCTATGATATACAGTGAATTTCAGGATATCTTGGACTATACAGAGTAAATAAGATTCTGTCTGAAAAAAAAATAAGTAGAAGAATAAAATAAAATTCTGAAAGGAATTTGTTATGTCATATGGAAGACAAAGGCCTTTCTTTTCTTCTTTTTTTTTTTTAGCCTTTTTTTCTTTTTTTTAAACCTTTTTTTTTCTTTTTAAAGATTTTATTTATTTATTATGTATACAGTCTTCTGCCTGCATGCCAGCAGAGGGCACCAGATCTCATTCAAGGTGGTTGTGAGGTACCATGTGGTTGCCGGGAATTGAACTCAGGACCTCTGGAAGAACAATCAATGCTCTTAACCGCTGAGCCATCTCTCCAGCCCTTTAAGCCTTTTTTTCATAGAGTACAAGAAACATATTCTTAGACAAGAGCCAAGCATAGTGGTTCACACCTATAATCCTGGCAGAAGGGTTGCTACAATTTTGGGACCAGCCTGTACTACATAGACTGGCCTGGCCTACAGAATGAGAACCTGTCTCAAAAAAAGAAAAAAAAAGATATGAGATTGTGGCCCATACCTTTAATCCCAACACTAGGGAGGCAGAGACAAGCAGATCTCTGAGTTTGATGTCAACCTGGTCTACAGAGAGAGTTCCAGGACAGCCATAGCTACACAGAGAAACCCTGTCTGGGGGAGCGGGGAGAGATAAAAGGAAAAAGAAATATACATAGGCCAGGAAAAAAAGATGTTACAAAGGAATGCAAAGGAGTGTCAGTGGAGTACAGAGGCCACATCATAGACTTGTGGCCATCTGTGAGTGGGATCTATCCTTCAGGAGCCTGATGGAGGTATTAATGTCATCAGGGGCATGGAAGGTCTCAGACATAGGTTTAAAAAGAACACTAAGAAGGACTGTTGAGGGTAAAGCATTTACCAAAAGATTTATTCATGCTATAGACAGACAAAACAGCCACTACAGACAGAGCTGGAGGGAGAAATCAGGGCCTACATGGCAGAAGCAGGAGTCTCTTCTACCTTTCTGAGGATGGGAAGAAAATCCTGCAGCCAGGCTCTCCCATTCCCAGGCAGGAGGCAGAGAATAGGGAATAGGATGGCCACCAAGACCCCCTTTAGTGTTAGCTAACTTCCCCAGGTCAGAAATCTGGTCACAAGGAAGCCTGTTAGCCTCACAGACAATGTCTCAGTAAGGAGCCTGTTTGGATGTAAGGGGAAGGTTGCTGTAGTACTGTGGTCTGAGAGGCAACTGGGTTCTAAAAGTACCTTCTTCCAGGGTGCACCTTTGAAGGTCATACCCACGCCTGGCTCTGCCCACTGTGCTTGCTGGTCAAATACTCAACATCCACTCTCCATGCCTTCCCTCCATGACGGACCACAAGCCAAAAGAATCCCTTCTTCCTGTGAAATTGTTTCTGTTGAGTATGTTGGTCACAGCAATGCAAAAGTAACCAGCACAGGGTGACCAATTTTAGTACAAGAGCTAGAAGAATCTTCCTGAAGACATAGGACTTGCAGGGACCTCAGGAGGCGGCTACCAGGCCAGGAGCAGAGGGGAAGACATTCCAGGGAGAGAGCTAACATGTACAGAGGTCTATGGTGGGATCAATCAGAGGACTGGGGCTGGATCACAGCAGAGTGTGCACTCTGTTCCCAAGGAGGCAGTGAAGTTTTAAGTGGAGAGGATGGGGCATGTGTGGAACTGGAGATACTGCTTAGTTTATCTATTGTAATGGTGTCGTGATGACAGATGGTGAGTTCTTTGATTAGGGTTGGGACAGGGAAGCTGGAGGCAAGTGGATAAATTCAATAATCACTTGAAGGTAGGATCAAAGGTCTTGTACTCTTAGACATGCATGAATGGAAAGAGAAGAGGGTGAAAACAAGGATGACCTTTAAGTTTCTGGCTGAGTGACAGGGTGGAAAGTGCTGTTGCTGGTGACGAAGATATGACTAAACCAGCAGCAGGTGTGAAGATGGAATAATACATAAAACATTTTGTTCCATGCCTGGCACTGGAAATATAATCGATAAATGTGATTATTATCATCTCCATTATTCTGTGTTCCACAATAACAGCTTCTTTTCAAACAGTCAGTTCTTTGGCCTTAAACACAGCATGCCAGGATCAAACAGAACAGGATTCATCAAAGAATGGCAACAGGTCTTTGAAATACGTTACAGAAATCTAGCCAGGCGTTGGTGGCGCAGGCCTTTAGTCCCAGTACTCAGGAGGCAGAGGCAGGCGGATCTCTGTGAGTTCAAGGCCAGCCTGGTCTCCAGAGCGAGTGAAGTGGTGCACTCCTTTAATCACAGTGCTGTTGAGGCAGAGGCAGGCAGATCTCTGTGATTTCTGTTCCATCATGATCTATATAGTGAGTTCCAGGGCAACCAGGGCCATAAAGAGACCCCATCTCAAAACAAACAAAACTTCATTAAGAAATGATCATGCCAACAACTAGGGAGATAGATGGTTTATGAGATAAAGTACTTGCTATGTGAGCCTGAGGATATGGATTCAGATCCCCAACACCTATGTAAAAGTAAGGCATGATAGCTGTGTAAGTCTCTATAACTCCAGAGATGGTGAAGTAAAGACAGAAAGATTCCTACGGCTTGCTGACCAGTTATTCTAGCAGCCTAGCCAAAAAAAAAAAAAAAAAAAAAAAAAAAAAAAAAAAACCCAAGCTCCAGGTTCACCGAGAAACCTTGTCTCAAAAAATATGGTGAAGGGTAAGAGAAGGACACCTGGCATCAACCTCAGGCCACACATACAGATGGACCTATAGCACAGGCCACAGGAAGCTGGTTCAGCACCATCTGAGAAAGTTTGTGCCTCTAAAGGACAGTACTGAAAACACAACCACTCGAATGCTTCACATTTAAGCTTTTATTTTGAAAAATAAAATACAAAAGTCATTAGGTTGTAAATGTGTACAGTAATTTCCCAACGTCTCTGAAACAATGCACTGAATTATTTAAATAATTAAGGTATTTCTATAATCCGCATCAATACATTTAAACAGGCGCGGGTATTGTACAAAACGCTGGAACGTGTACCTATTCTGAACGAGACTGCCAAGTTTGTTAACAGAATGCCATCTTTAAAGTCTTCCGCTCTTGAAACTAAGACTAGAATCTGGTAAGAAAAGACATTCACAAGAGGAGCTGTAACAGAACTCTATCCCTGCTGGATTCCTCATTTCGAGGGTGGTGCATGTCAGGGGCTCAAGAGCCATCACTAAAGGAGGCTGGCTGTGTGACACCACCCTCAGGGATGAGGCTGGCAGGTGGTTAGGATACCCCACTTCTCCCAGCAGAAGACAGCAGTTCCAGAGATCTCCCTTCTGTAGAAAAGGCAGCAGTCGTCCCTAGGGCAAACACACAGCATGTGGTCACAGGCACTGATCAAAGCTGCCCTTCCTGAACCATCCCCTGCTTCCTTGTTTGCACCAGGGGGTGGGTAGGCTCCTGCACAGTGCCTCTAAGGGACATGAGGGGCACACTTTACCATCTGTGATGTTTCCAGTACCTGCAAATAACTTCAAGACACAAAGCAAGAGAACACGAGGGCTATCACCCTTTCTAAAGATGGCAACGGTCACTGCGCCTGACACTACCACTAATGTCCGATGCCACCATACCGACTTTTCATTATGTGACATGACCTTGACAGATGAATGGGCACTCTGGGATCACTCTAACTAGTCAGCACAAAGGTGACTGGGCCTCTCGGTCTCTCAGTTCCTCACAATGTTAAAGCCCCCTTCCAAACACCATCTCCACATCTACGACAGACTCTGAGGAGGTCATGTCAGTTAGATCTTACCATGGGTCTCTGCTTAGCATACTCTTCATTTCACAGATAAGGAAACAGATACAGAATTAAGCTGCTTGGTGCCAGGAGGTGACAGGGCCAATGCCAACCCTGGCTGTCTGAGGCTTGAGCTGTGCTCTCTATCTGGACACACAGCTGTCACTGCCAGCCCAAGTGGAGAATCCCACCCAGCAGCACCTGGCAGGCCTCACCTTGCTGTGGAAAGGTCCAGCCTCAGCTACTCCACTTGCTCAGTCTGTGAAAAGAACCCATAGATATGTTAAAATCTTTGCAGTCAGACTGTGAGCAGAAGACGTGACTGCTTTCACCAACACACCAGGCATGGCTCAAAGGGCTGTGATGGCTAACATACATTCAGGGTTTAGACTAATATGCTTGAGAGACCAAAAAAGGGGTGGGGGAGACTCTAGCATATACAGGTTGCATCCCAGCTGCCCACTTCCCTTTTCCCCTTAGACATTGAATACTATTCTTAAAATTGACTGATCTTGTCAAATTTGCTGTTTTAGCAAGATCATTAGACTAACTGCTAGTTCTGCTTTTGTAATCAAGCTAGCTTTGCTAAAAAAAGATGACCAAGACAACTGCAAGACATATATATTAAAGCAAGACCCTGTCTACACATGGACAAAATACATATAGTCTTATGGCTTTGCCCTTATAAGCCCTGGGCTGATATGACTAGGAGCTGCATCTTGGAAGCACTCTCGGGTGCAGTCCTGGCCCCATGTTGGAGGCCAGCACCTAAATAAAAATCCTCTTCTTATTGAAATATATTCACAGTCATGGTGAATGGCCCTTCGAGTGACCCCAGACCCATAACAGGGTCTGCTCAGAATTTTAGATGAACTCAGCCTGTAACTGTTCTAAAGAAAGAAACTGGACTGGCCTTTCCCACAGTCCAGGGACAGACTAAACCCTTGGCATCTCCTGAGTAACAGGGGTGCCTTTGTTCCTCATGAGCCCCATGAGTCACATCTGAGTCTATGTTAGGACGAGCGATGACAGGGTGGGCTCATTAATCAAAGACCAACCCTGTGGCTGGATGTTTGAACCTTCGAGTCAGCCTGGTCTCAAGTCAGATGCTGGGAGCCACAGTCTAGGAGCACATGAGCAAGCAGAAAGAGTGTGAGCTCTCACTCCACAGGAACAGGACACACAGTTGTCTTTGGGGCAGAACAGGCTGGCTGAACTCACAGAAGTCGTCCTCATGCTTCTGCCTCCTGATGCTGGGATTACAAGCGTGTGCTGCCGTGCCAAGAAAGTGTCAATTTTTTTCCTTTTTTTTGTGACAGGGGTTCATGTAGCCCCAGAGGACTCTGAACACTCTGAGTAGGTAATGATAACCTGGGACTTGATCCTTCAGCCTACAGTTCACAAGTATTGAGACTACAAGCATGTGCCCACACTTGGACCCGTTTCTTCCTTAAGCCATAGCCTTTCTTTCAAATTTTTATTTATTTAAATGTGTATGGGCATTTTGCCTCCACATATGTCTGTGCATCTAGGTACATCCCTGGTACCTAGGGTTACGGGTGGTTGGGAGCCACCATGTAGGTGGCTGGGAATTGAACTTGGGTCCTCTGGAAGAGCAGCCATTACACCTACTTGTGAATGTATTTAGTTTTGTGTAGATGGGTGTTTGTGTGAATGTTTTGGGGGGAATCCACAGCACGGATGTGGAAGTCAGAGGAAAGCCTTCAGGAGTCAGTTCATCCACTTTATGTGGGTTCCAGAAACCAAACTTGGGTTACCAGGCTTGGTGGCGATGCCTTTACCCACTGAACTATCTCACCAACTCTATCATTATTTATTGTTTTTGTTTGTTTAAGATAGGGTCTGGCCATAGAGTAATGGATTACCAGCCTACAATCCACACTGCCAGAGAAGCTAGTAAACAAGGAGGACTCTAAGAGAGACATACATGGTCCCCTGAGCAAATTGAGAGCATGGGAAGAGGGGGAAGGGAGCTACAAGAATGAGAAGGGAAGAAGAGGAAGTGTGCAGAGGTCATGAGGGAGCAGAAAGGTTGAGTTAGGTGTAGATTAGAAGAAAGGATATGTGGTAGGTAGGGTTTTAGTTGGGGGGAGTAGTAGGGAAGTACAGGAGGGAGAAGGGAACTGGGATTGTCATGTAAATCAATCTTGTTTCTAATTCAAATAAAAAAATGATAAAAAAAAAAAAAGAAGATAGTGTCTGGCTCTGCAGCCCAGGCTGGTCTTGAACTTACCCTCCTGCTTCTATCTTCCCAGTGCTGGGAAAACAGATATGTGCCATTATATCCAGCTATGGCAAGTTTTAATATGTAAATATTCTCAACTCAGGTGTGTAATTTATCATCCTCCCCGAAAGACAGGGTTTCTCCACTATCCCTGACTATCTTGGAATTCACTCTGTAGACCAGGCTGGCCTCAAACTCAAAGTTCTGTCTGCCTCTGCCTCCTGAGTGCTGGAATTAAAGATGTGTGCCACCAATGCCCCAAGATTTATCATTCTTTAAATTCATGATCATGTCTTCATGGCTGAAGACATCTTTCCTTCTACAGGACTGGGACATTCTCTTGTATGCTTCTACCCACTTCCTTCTCCATCTGGGGATGTCTTGGGTGTGTGCTGAAGCACAGGACCTCCTTCAGTTTCATTCTCAAACACCCTTTCTGGGTTTCTTCAACTTTATTCTGTCTCTTGGGTTGCTTTCTGGTTCCCATTTCCAAGGCTGTGAGTAACAGTCCCTTTGGGAATTCATCCAGGGCTCTGGGATGTCAGGCACACTTTGGGCCTGGCCCTGAGCTCCCCTCTATGCAAGCGTCAGGTCTTTAAGGAAGATTGAGTTCCTTGAGAAGAACTTTCCTTTTCCTCCAACTCCTGAGGATGTGTCCTAATTTCTTGCTCATAACAGATCCCTGGCGAACAATTGTTGAATGCATGAAAGAGTTTAATATATACTTGTTAAGAATATGCCTTGGATGTACTGTGAGGCTCTCTAGTATCAGGCATCATTATGGAGGGCTGGTAACTAAGAATGGTCAGGTAGGGTACTTCATCCCTGGTGGATGACAGTGTCACTGAGCTCCAGAGGACAGCCTGCTTACTCCAAGCTTGCTGTGTGAGACACAGCTCACACAGACACATAAGGCAGTATTTCCTTTGCAATCATAACTGAAATGTTAGAAAATGAGTTCAGTAGGGACAGCAGCACCCTAGAGACAGGATGACTCGGCCCCATGCTGAACATCAAGGCTAATGCAGACAGGCAGTGATGTCTACTCCTCCCAGCAGTTTCACACGTGCGACAGGGGATGATGGGACACTCTGTGCTACCTCAGGCACATCTTCCATTAACAGTCTCTCTTTTTTAATTTCCTCCAACTTAGGACACAATAACGGAATGCAAGTGAATTGAAACATTATAGTTGTAATTGCAGATTGTTTTTGTTTGTTTCATTTTTGAGATGGGGTCCTACTATGTAGGCCTAGCTGTTCTGGAACTTACTATGTAGACCAAGCTGGCCTCAAACTCACAGAGATTTGCCTGCTTCTGTCTCCCAAGTGGGACTAAAGGTGTGTAACCACCATGCCTGGCTCAAGGATTGGTTTATTTGTTTGTTTGTTGGAGTCAGGGACTCTCTGAATAGCCTTGGCTGTCCTAGAATTCACTCTGTAGACCAGGATGGTCTCAAACTCACAGAGATCCACCTGCCTGGTGTCCCAAGATGGATAAAATGCATGTGTCACCATGCCCAGTGGTTTCATTTTTTAAAGTATAAGGATTGCAAGGTTTGAACTCTCATTATTTGCTGACAGCCAACTGCTGTATGCACTATGCATTACAGGTCTTTTAGTCTTCAATGTAAGAACAGTTAAAACACCACAGATGTGAATACAATAAAAATGTCAAAAGTGGCAGCATATTCTTAATGCAAAGTAGATGCTCAGGAGGCTGAGCAGATTCACGTGTGAAATACTGTATGGCTGTGTGTGCGGTCCCAGACACATGTTATTAATGATGCACTTCCCTAGCTGTGACCCTGAACTCTCTCAACTCACAGCTGTTCGCTACACCAGAACAGGTCACTGCCTTTCCCTATTTTCCTTACTTATTTGTTTCTTAGTACGTTAAAAAGGGAGCTGGCCTGGAACTCCACTGTGCAACCCAGGCAGGCTTGGATTTGTGGTGATCCTCTATCTCAGCTGATGGCTAGAATTATAGGTACAAACCAGCACACCTGGCTTTTATTTTCTTGTTTTCATTTTTTAAAATTTCATTGTCTTTCCAAAAGCTTACTTTATGGAAGACCCAGCTCTCACGTAAAGGAGGAGGAAAGGGAAGTGGTGTACATACGGTACCTGGGGATTTTCTTTCAGAAAGTCAGGTAGCTGAAATTCTCCTTTATAGACCTGGAAAACAGAGCAGGAGTGAGTTTCAGGAAACAGGAGCCTTCTGGTGCACATCTGCAGTCATTGGGCTGCTGCTTCACTCCTGGGGAGTTTGGAATGAGAGAGGAACCTGTCAGTTCAGGGCAGCGAGAGAAGTAGAACTTAGTCAGACCCTCCTTCTGCAGCAACTGCCCCAGAGGCTCCTGAGCTGGCTGGCTAAGAGAGGGCAGGGTAGTGGGGAGACAATCAAAATAAAAATTCCAGAGCATCTGAAGTGTCATTCCTAGTAGCCAGGAGAAAGCAAGCCCTAGGTGACCTACCTCAGAATTCACCTGGGTTGGAAGCAAGCGCTTCCTGACTGCCCATCAAGTTTCCAGTTACAACCTTGGATTTGAGTCAACTTCAGTTTCCTCAGTTTACCCAAGAATCCTATTAATGTCAGATGATCCTTAGAGTGATGCCTACTTAAAGCTCATAGATCTTTTCTTCTGAGACATCGTCATCCCAGATTGGCCTTAAATGCATTATTTATCCAAGAATCACACTGAACTTCTAATCCTCCTGTTTCCACTGTGCCATTGGTGGGATTATAGGCCTGCATCACTATGCTTGGTTTATACAGTCCTAGGGATGGAATCTAGGACTTTTGGTGTGCTAGGTAAGCAAACTTAGCTACATTCCAGCTCCACGCACATATGTTTGAATACTTGGTTCCCCCAGCTGGTAGAACTGTTTCAGAAGGGTTAGAAGGCATGGCCTTGTTGGAGGAGGTCTGTCATTGGGGGCAGGTTTTACGATTTCAAAATTCACACTATTCCCAGTGTGCTCTTTGTCTCTGCTTACTGTTTGTGGGTTGGGGAATGAACTCTCAGCTGCAGCTCCAGTGCCAACATGCCTGCTGCTTGTTGTCATGCAGACTTTCATGAAACCTTAAGTCCAATTAATTGCTTTCTTTTCTGTATTGCTTTGGTCATTGTGTTTTGTTAAAGCAATCGAAACATAACTAATATGGTGTGTATGTATACAAACATACACACACACCAACACTAGAATCCATGCTAAGCAAGTAGCTATAATTAGGGCAATAAAGTTTGACATAAGGGCATACACTATAACAAACCCTCACTTCCGGATACAGTATGACAAAAGCAGTCCTGAGGAACAACACACTCAGAATGGGCAAGTAAATCAGGCACAGGGATGCACATCTATAATCCAAGCAGTTGGGAGGTGGAGGTAGGAGAATCTCAAGTTTAAGGACAGCCTCAGCTACACAGTGAGTTCAAGGCCAGCACAGCCTACTTGACACCCTGTACCCCCAAAACTCAGGATGTGATGGTATATGATTTTAATCCGAGCATTTTTGAAGCAAACTCAGAGGCTGGTGGCTCTCTGAGTTTGAGGTCAGCTTGGTCCATATAACAAGATACAGGGTGGCCAGGGATATACAGTGATACCCTGTCTAAAACAGGGTGTGGCTCATTGGTAAGTAATTTCCTAGTGTGTATGATATCCTAGCTTTAATCCCCAGGACCACTAAATAATAATAAATTATTAAACACAGTCATACATACTGTGTATACTCTATAGTAAAAATAATATGAATCACTATACTACTAATGACACAGATGAATCTTAACACATAATCATGACAGTGTCTATAGGGAGGAGACAGATCCTAAGAAATATATTGTCTTGATATTGTAGTCATTATGAGGTATGAGAATTTTGTGATCTTTTATTGATATGTTGGGTATACAGCTCTCTATATATACTTCAATAGGAACAATTCAATAACCAAATTAACTCAATGGCTTAATGTTAAAAAAGTTTTTGCTTAGTAGTCATGGTGTTACATATCTGGTATACAATACTTGAGAGGCAGAAGCAGGAACAGAAGAATTTGGAGTTTGAGGCCAGCTTTCACTACACAGTAAGACCCTATTTCCCTTTCCAAAATAAACAAACAAATAAATAATAAATCACAACTAAAACACATGCATACCCACTGTTGAAGTATAAAAATGTTTGTTTCAACAGTTTGCAGTAGTTTTTTTTTGTTTGTTTGTTTACTTAAGAACTATTAATGGCCAGGCAGTGGTGGCACATGCCTTTGATCCCAGCACTTGGGAGGCAGAGGCAGGCAGATCTCTGTGAGGTCGAGGCCAGCCTGGTCTACAAAACAAGTTCCAGAACTGCCAGGACTATTACACAGAGAAACACTGTCTCAAAATACAAGATAGGTAGGTAGATAGGTAGGTAGATAGGTAGGTAGGTAGGTAGATGATAGATAGAAGATAGATAGATAGATAGATAGATAGATAGATAGACAGACAGACAGATGATAGAAGTTTGCACACCTTTAATTCCAACACTCGGGAAGCAGAGGCAGGCAGATCGATCTCTGTGTGTTTGAGGCTAGCCTAGTCTACAAAGCAAGTTCCAGGACAGCACTGAGAAACCCTGTCTTGAAAACCCCCCCACACACAAAAAAAAAATGACAGCTGCTGGGTTTAGAATTACCATGACAAGAACTTATGGATACTGACTGGCGTTACCAGATAGCTTCCAAGCATACAAAGGGGTGTTCTAAATGATGATTTAAAAAACACACAACCAAACAAACAAAACCAGAAGGAATCTGATACTAGATTCTGTTATAGGATATTTGACCACACTGTTAAATAAAGCTTACCTTGAACCAGGGGATGGAACCAGCACCTAGCTAACTGGAATTGGCCATAGAGAAGCCCGCGATTTGGACAGAGAAAATGCACAGAAAGGAAAGGATGGGGATAGTTTGCCGCTTCCTTTTGGTTCTGGCACGAGTGAAGAGACACCTTTTTGCTAGGTCTCCAGCCAAAAAGATCAGCTGGTTGCATATTGGCTTCTCTAGCAGGTTTTCACCCTCACATCTGAATTCTGAGTCTTTGTGGGTAAATAGAAGGATAAAGACTTAATTTAAACCTACATATTGTAGTGACAGCAGAGTAGGGGCCCTGGGACTGAAGCTGTGGCCTGAGTGGCAGGCAGAGTGCTGATTGCAGGGCTATGGGGCCACGGATAATAATTAAAATACCAAGAGATTCGTGTGCAGTCTCTAAGCTGACAAGAAAAAAAAAGGATTCTTTAAAAACTCTGTGTGTGTGTGTGTGTGTGTGTGTGTGTGTGTGTGTGTGTGCGCGCGCGCGCGTCTGTCTGTCTGTCTGTCTGTCTGTCTGTCTGTCTGTCTGTGTCTGTATATGCCACATGAGTAAATGTGCTCAGAGGAGCAAAAAGAAAAAAAAGGGTGTTGGATGCCCTGGAGCTGGAGTTACAAGCAGCTGAGAGCTGCTGGTGTGGGTGCTGAGAATAGGACTCAGGTACTTTACAACAACAGCCTGGTGTGATAGCACGGGCACACACCATTAATCCCAGCACTTGGGAGGTAGAGGTAGCCAGATCTCTGTGAGTTTGATGCCAGCTTGGTCTACACAGCAAGTTCCAGAACAGCCAGGACTACATAGAGACCCTGTCTCAAAAAAACCCAAAGCAACACAACAGATTGTAATAATGTAATAATAAAGAGGTTCAGTGGCGTAGAGCATTTGCTGCTCTAGCAGAGGACCCAGGTTCACTTGCCAGCACCCACATGTTGGCTGACAGCTATCCTTGATTCCAGTTCCGGGGGACCCAATGCACTGCATACATGTGGTTCACATACATACATGCAGTCTAAGCACTCACAGACATGAAATAGAATAAAAAAAAGTTTTAAACATGTTTTTAAAAGATTATATTACAATCTGCCTGCTGTTTAGGCCATAATACTTGCCGGAGCCCCCCACCCTGACAGGTACCTGCTGAAACTTTGTCTGTGAATCTCTAGTTATTACACTTCCAGGTTTAGGGTTTCTGATCTGGGAAAGGGAGTTTACATCAAAGGAATTATTTGTGGCCAACATCCTGTTCCCTACTACCTTCTCTATCTACTTGGGGATCTGAGAGCCTGGCTACAGGCTTGTGCTGTGAAACCACTCCTATGCTCAGAGAGCTGTAAGAAGAGGCCCAACTTCAGCCACTTGGGCCTAATTCTTATCCCCAGAGACCCTGCCACAGTGTCTGTCTCCGGTGCTGGGGGTTGGACTCCCCTCAGAGTCCCAACCACATTGCTGTCTGCCTGTTTTTGGCATTAGTAACTCTTCTAATAAGTTTGTCTCCCAACAAACCATCACTTCAGTTTTCCTCCTGAACCCACATCTGAGACTGTTCAGCTGCACCTGGGTTCCCTAGCTCTGGATGCTAAGATTATTATGTTTGTAGTTTTAAACTGCTAACAGGCCTAAGGGTAATGTGTTATATCTCAGCAGATAAACAACATGGGATGATATTATTATGTTGCAACACATACCCAAAATGTGGACAGAATCAGCAAGGAGAAGCAAGTATGAGCCAGGACTTTAAGGACAGCAGCTAAGTGGACAAAAGCCTAAATGGCCAAAAGCTGATTTGGGTCTTGGAAGAGTCTACCTATGAACATTTTAATAGGTGGGAGGGACAACACAGAGGCAGGGAGAGCTTTGTTCAGCAGTAGCTAAATGTTTAGCAACCTGACTATGCCTAATGAACCGAAGCATACAGCCAAGGAGACTCCAAGCCAAGAATTAAAGGTACACCTCATTTCTTCTTGGTACATACAGTGAAAGACACCAGAGGAACCTAGGAAAGAACTGGTTCATTTTTGTTCTTGCGTAAAGAAAAGGAGCCTAGATGTGATAGTTAAAAAACGCCCAGGCCTCCATCCTTACTGTAGTGTAACAAAGTTATATTCCCTACACAGATTCTACTTCCATCACCACGGCATCTTCTATTACCCATCCCTCATAAGGACTCCCTAGTCACATCATAGAAATTGGAAGTGGATGTCTTCGTAGGCCATTATGCTGTCTATCCCACGCAAGTAACATACACCTAGGGCATTGCTCCCAGAATGTCTGTAGTTTGTAGGTGGGGACCCAGGGTTAAACACAGTGCTGTGGTAATACCAGTCATGTTGCCTGCACAGACAAAATCAATCAAACAAACAGACAAACAAAAAACCCCCTCTCACATGGAGTCTAGAAAGATGGCCCAGTGCTTAA